CCCCCCCGGATTATTACTTGAGCTTGATTGCTTGGCTCCACATTCTTACCGTTTCTTTGTGCCAGGAGGCCGACGGTTGTGTTTTCTCGCGATCCGCTCGCTTCTAGGAGTTTCCATGCATGTCGGTGGTCCAGATCAGCCTCGGCTTCCACTCTGTCCCACAGAGCGTTTCCACGGCGATGGGAGAGACGAGGCCTGGAAGCCCAGCGGCGAGTGCTAGTGTCGGCTGGGTTACCTCACTGCACCATAGTTAGCTTTATTAAACCTATAAACCAATCAGCTAATGGTCTCCAGTCCTCTTAGTTGGGTCAAACATGCTGACTAAGCAGACACTGTAATTAACGCTGGTTTTCTCCCCCCCCCCCTCCAGATGGAGAACATCATCGCACGAATGCAAGATGAGAGGAATGGCATCCCTATCCGCACAGTAAAAAGTTTTTTATCGAAGATCCCAAGTGTCTTTTCAGGTAAGGTGTGTTTAATGGTTCAGTGAAGTGAATGACCCTTGGTTGGTTGGGGGGTGGGGGGTGGGGGGGGTGGTGTGTGCTTGTTGAAGCTGTGGGGGTCTGACGGCCGTGAGATTTCCCCTGCTCAGTACGAAGAATGTATCAGGGACCTAGTTGCTCGTTTAATTTGACGATACGCATCGGCGGTAAGCGTACGCAACAAAGGGAACGGCAGTCACCGCGGGAACTGCTACGGCGACTATAACTACTGAAACAAGCTCACATCATGGAACAAACAATTAGCTTGGTTACTGTTGAAGTGGCCAGGAGATGTGTTATAGTTAATCCCACAAAAAGGTTGACCATAATACAAAAATTGTAGTATTTATATTATGTCAAATATTTGTTGATAATGGCAAGAAATGGCCAACGGGGTCCCCACAAAAACAGCAGGTACACGGCACATCTGTGTAGGGGACTTGTTGGGGACTCCAGGAGTCACTGGGCGATGAGGTAATTTATGCTTGATTGTGTGTGTTGACGCACAAGAGTTTCATGGGTCAGTAGGCGGGTTGTGTGTCTTCGTTTAAGGACTTTCCCCCCCGCCCTGTGTTTCTGCATGTTTCCAGCACGTTCGAGGTGAGCGTGTTACTGTGTCATGTATACCACTGTGAGGGGGGGGCAGAGTATTGCAGTTCAGTGACCTGGACTGCAGATGATGTCAGCCAATGAAGGGTAAGAATCTGTTCAGCTAGCAGCTGATTGGATGCCCTGAAGACGGCATCACCAAGCGGTTTGCAAATCCTACTATGAATCACATGTGTTGCCTTGAATACTTTCTGTGATGGAGAACATCTGGCTCATTAGGAAACATAAATAGTGGACAACATAAACAGGAAGCTCAAAATCTTGGTAGAAATGCTTTTTTTTTTGACGATTCAGTCCTCTGGTTAGTTGGTGCTGGAAGGTCACACACTTTTGGCATTTCGGTTCGGTGTACCTTTGCTCATATGGGCTCTCATCTGCGGAGGTGCGTTCTTGTGACCGATGTTGTGTGTTTGGAGGGGGGAGGGTGCGAACTCTCTCATTCTCACACGCTGCTTCCCCTGGAAGGCATTTTGTGAACCTGAGATCATATCTCCGGTATGTTCCTTGACTCACTGGGAGAGCCTAAAGGTTTAGAGTTAATATTTGGATTTTTTTTTCTAATCTGTTGATTGCTGCTCTTGACCTTCGCAATAATCCTACGAATTTTTGTAAAATTTGCACCGTATTTGTAGCACAAAGTACAGGGAAAAACAAAAACATTTACTGTGATGCATAAATTATCTGCAGCTGTGATGCAATCTTTTATTATTTTAATTATACGGAACATTTATTAAGGTACATTATCAAAATGTGACTGCATGTATTGTCGCTACTTTGCTCTTTATGATAGCGCATCGTAATTAGTCGTTGAATATTCTTGGAAAAGCATTGAGTATTATACTTTGCAATTATAGTGACGTGTGGGGGCCGTGACTGGTGTAAATACAGGGTGATTGTATGTACTCATGATGGTAAACTCCTTGTAAATCATTCTGTATAGAACTGAGCCACAAGCAAAGCACAGGAAACAGAATCACGTGATACTGCAGTCGGTCTGGATGGATGGCATGTTGACCCAGTGGAGTCCAACGTGGATGAATGTTTGAGGGCGTGATTATGACTCCCAAAGGCAATGGTGCGCTGACAATGGATGATGATGATGATGGTCTCAATGATGGAACGGAATCCAAACACAGGACTCTGAAGCTCAGATAGAAGAGACATGGAAACTATAACTATAACTCCAAACTATAGAGCCACTCAATTTTTCTACCCTCTTCTTCCATTTTTCTGTTTAAACCCCTTCTCCTTAAAGCTTAGGGTTTCTTAAAGGGACATGTGCCCTATTACATGCAGAACTGGTCTAGTGAAAAGCGGAGCGCGCCTCCTAGCTTTACGCGAGTTCATGCCATAACACACCCCCTACTGGCCCCCAGTTATTTCATGTTTTTAATGTGTGATGTGTCACAAAAGAGCATAGAAATTGACTCAGATTTAGTTTTTCTGATTGTATACAATTCCGGCATTTAAAAGAGCACAGGCTCAAATCACCACCTGCTTTATCAGATGATCCATGAAGGATGAGAGAAGCAGTATCCTCCCGTCCTCCAGCGCACACCAAAATGAAGAAAACCCTAAATACTGGGACCGCATTGTCGGGGAGGACCACAGAGAAATGGAGGGAACGAGGAGAGGAGGAAGCGGGAGTGATGAAGGAAGACGGAAACTGCTAGGAGGGAATGAAGAGAGGGGGAAGTGGAAGTGACGAAAGAGGGTGGGGACTGGATGGACATGTTCCTCATTACTCAGTGTTTGGTTCCCTTAACCAGAAAGGAGACAGTTCAGCCTAAAGAACAGGAATTCCGTATTTGTGAGAATGACGTCCCCCTCCACAGTGGTATCACCCATTCTTCTTCCATTGTTTTTTCTTTTTTTTGGACTGTACCAAAAAAAAATTATTTTTCCAATATTCGGTCACGGAGTCTTGGTACCTTGGAGGCACTGGTGAAGAGGCCTAATGCGTAAGGTGCTTAATTAGTTCTGCAGAAGGCATCACCCACTGCTGTCTGTCTTCTCCCTCCTCCCCTTAAAGACGCCTGACACATATAAATCTCCTTACCAACCTAGTGGGTCCACACTGACCTTGATCCCATCTAGCCGTCTCACTTTCCAGTAGCCTGTCTGTTCATGGCCCAAGCAAACCTGAGATTAGAACTGAAAACAACCCTTCAGTGTGCAGACGGGCTCAGGGAGTCCCGGCTTGTACACATGGAGTTCCCTCTCCTTTCACATAAAGGCCACTGTAGATCCCAGTGTGCTGCGGTATAAAGCAGTCCTCTTAACTATTGAATTAAGACTTATTTTTAAAAATGGGATGAGTATTTGCAGAGTTTTACTCCTCCTGGAAGTGGCCTATATTTAAGCATTTGATCCAAAAGAAAATAAAGAAATCTTTTCTGAATGGGTCCTCGTCATTCTTTAAAATATCATGTTTAATCTGCATAATCGAGTCCATCTTTGTAACCGTTTGATGCATGAGCCCCGTCGCAGAGCAGAGCACCCGTGCAGGTGCGTCGCATTTTAATGAAGTGATTGCCAGATGCGGCTCCACGTGGCGAGGGGCCATGTCGGTTCGGGGAAAAATCTGTGACGGGGTGAGCGCTTTGCCGGCGTGGCCCTTCTCCGCGTACCGGCGCCTGTGACTCGTGTGGCTTCACGCTGCTCGACCGGTTGCGTAATGAAGCGCGTTACGTAAGCGCGTCGAAAGCCGGCGGGGCAGCGCCTGCCTCTGAGGCGGCCATCTTTGTGGCTAATTCACATATCTCGGGGCGGATGGAGCTGATCCGCGGAGATCTCGATGAGAGCTGGAGGCTCTGCTAGTTGCTGGTGAGCGAAGCTGAAAGACCAGATACAGATCGTCCCACTTTGGGGGGGGGTAGGAGGGAGAGCGACAGTCGCTGGGGAAACCAACCGACGCACAGTCACTGATATCAGCCCGAAATGTCAGGACCGCGATGCCCAACAATATTCACATTTTCACTCAGGCATCACTGTGGACAGCCCTTGTGCTGCGGCCAATCCTGAGCAACTTTACATCTTAATTAAGCCCTTGGCCAAAGATATCAAAGTTAACGTCTATTCGTCTTAAGGTAATCGGTGAATTATTGCAGTGCTTCTCTCTGGCTTGACTTAAACATCTTCGGTTTGGTAGCTGAATTTATTTTTTTTTAACGTAACAATCAGAGCTGTAACAATTAACGCCGCCTGTTTCTTTGCAGTGAAAGCGGTGTGAAAATCCTCACTATGGGGTATCAGTGTTATGCGTGTGCCAGTCCGCTCTCGAGTTGACCCAGTTTGCGTGACGGCGCTGCCAGCTGGATTGGAGATGTGGGTCCCTGCCAGATTAAAGAGCGGCGCTGTCCAGGGTGCTGAGCGAGCGAGCCGCCGCGCGAATTAGCCATAGAACTTTCCGTGATGATGCTCCTGCTGTGGCGGCTATGTCCAAGGGCACCGTGAAGGTCAGAGAGGCGCGGTGTTCGAATGCAGCGCTACCAGACAGGGGGGGTCTCACTCGCTCGCACACACACACACACACGTTGGCATTCATGTCTTTGTGGGGACTCTCCGTTAATTTCTATGGAAACTCCCTAATCCCAACATGACGACCTTAACCCCTACCTTACCAGCCCTAACCTTAACCATAAGCAGGCAAACAAAATACAAGAGTTTTTTTTTATCACAAATTTTTTGAAAATTTTAGTTAAAAAAAAACGGGTTTCATCACATTGTGGGAACGTTTGGTTTCCACAAAATGAGGTACGTGTGGACCAGAGACACACACACTCACATCCACATAGCGTTTCTGACTGTGGAGTTTGCTGTAAGGGGCTGCCAGGCTCAGCAGTCCTCCTGTTCTTCTCGAGATTGAGACTTCCAGTCTGATAAGATAAGATAGGAGAACTTTATCGATCCCTGTCTGGGGAATTTTTTTTTTTTTGCCCAGTAGCACAGAAATAAATACAACAAAGGATAACATAAGTAAAAAGACAACAAATACGATAAGAAACATCGGTAATGAAATAAACTTAATAAATTTAACGAATAAGTTGGAAAAATGAAGTGAAGCGTCGCATGTAAATTTGGATGCTGAGCTGCACCCCTTCGGTGGGATGGGGGAGGTCCTGTTGAGTTCTAGATCAGTGATATTCAGACTTTTATACAGGATCCCCCTCAGGCTGATATATTTGTCTGGACCCCCCCCCCCCCACACACACACACACACACTAAACCCATATAAACTCTTCCTCGCCCCACAGTTTAAATACCCCTGGTTTAGCTTGTGATAGAGGAGGGTGGCAGTGAGTCCCTGAGCCGCAGTGCTGCCCAGTGAGACGCCACTCCGCCTGGATCACTGCGGGTGATGCTATTAGCCAGTGTA